CAAACAAATCTCCATAATTCTCCTTTATATATATATAATGATAATGATTCCATTAGTTAACTAACTACATTATTCTAATTTCATTATCTAATTAATGTTTATTAATTATAACTCTATTAGATTCTATAAGTTTGTAATTCTATTATTTAATAAAAAGGTTAATGTTTATTAATGTTAACTAATTTATAAAAATGATATGAAACATTGTTTACGAATATATAAAAATTAAAACTCACTTACACTCATAGCTATTCAAATTCAATTTGATAAAAATTAAAATTAAGTTTACTTAAGTAAAGTTTAATTTACTTAAGTGTGTTGTCAAACATTGCAAAATGGGGACGGCGGTGGTAAAATTTACTTAATTAATGCTACAATTAATGAGGGAGACCATTTGGTGCACTTGAGTTTATTGGAATTCTAAAGGCTTTGTTTGGTAGGAAATTACAATTATTATTGGTTCTGTCTGACATTTTATTGAATTTTTTTTTTTTTTTTTGAAAATGATGTTTTATTAGAGTTAAATTATGAATTTTATAAGAGGTATTTAATCGAACTGAATTTATAAATCTAATTTGATTAGATTGAATTCAGATTCACGTCTTTTATAAATATATGTATTCTATAAACATGCTTATAAAAAGAAAAATTTTATTTTACATCCATTTTTTTATCAATAATAAAATTTTTCGGTAAACTCACTTAAGTAAATTAAAAATTAAGTTTAATTTGATCAAAATTAAAAAATTTTCAGTAATTTTAAGGGTGTGTTCACTTGTAGAAAACTGGAGTAGTTTTCTAAAAAAGTTTTCCAAGAAAATTGAAAAACAAAATTGTGTTCAAATCAGTCAGTTTTTTATTTGGAAAACTAGAAAACAATTATCTAATTTTTCAAAATTTAACTAAGGTTTGGAAAATAGTTTTAAGTTGTTTTCCATTTTTATAAAATGACATTTTTATAATTAAAGTTATAATATTTATAAATAATTTTTTCTATAAAATATTTTTATTGAATAAATAAAATATTTAAATAATATAAAAAATTATATTATGTTTTTAATATATAATTAGTGTTATTATGACAAATATATTATATCTTTTATTTTTAAAATTTTGACAAAATGATAAAAATTGATATTATTATTATTGTAAATAATTGATAATAAAAATTCAAAAATTTTTTAAAAAAAACATTCTAAAGATATTTATAATATTTTATTTTAATTATGAAAGTTATGAATAATGTTTGTGAAGTTTTTAAATTAAATATAATTTTTTATTATTACAAAGTGGATACATTTTTCATTTTTTGCTTACTAATTTTCAATTTCTAAAAAAACTTTTTTCGTAAAAAACAAAAAATAGAAAATATTTTTCTGTAAATAAATGCACCCTAATATTTTATGACTCGAATATAAATACTGTGAGATTTGTAGTTCAATGCTAATAGTTTTTCTTTTTTTAAAAATCAGCAAATTAATTTATTTTATTAATATATCAAGGAAAATTTAACTTGTATATGTAATTAATTCAAGAACTTGCTAGACTTGTGAAACTCAAAAAAAAAAATAATAATAAAAAAACTCATATCCTTAGCATATATGATTTGAATCTGTAGCTTAAAATGATGTCTCCAGCACAGAATGTGGTATTCATCATCTAATCCTTTGAAATCGGGGCGATGGGTGTTACACGCACACACATATACACACATCTTTTTTAGAGAAAAATAATCATAGTATTTGTTTGTAGTGTTTTGAGGAGTCTATTGGATTAGGTTGGATTATTTAGATAAGTTTTCTTTGATTTGTTTTATTATAATAATATAAAGAAATTTCGCTGATAAAAAACAAACTACAATGTTTATTTGTTTTGTTATATAAAATCTTATTTCCTTTGGCTACCAAGAACTCGTTTGTATGATTTCATTGTTAATAATTTTTCGGATTCACGGTAAAGGATGTGTTAAAAGACTTCTTATCTTAGCATTCGTAATTAATTTTTTTTTTATTTTTCAATTTGATATATTTTTTTTTATTTTTCAATTTGATTATAATATATATTATATTATATATATATATATATAATATATATTATATATTTAGACGTATATATTATTTTGTCTGAATTTGGTAATTTTATATTATTTAAATCTTTATAGTTGGGTAATGTAATATTTCGTTTGAACGTTAAAATTTTGTTATATATAGACGTTTATATATTATGTTTGTTGAATTTGGTAATTTTATATTATTTAATTCTTATATTGGGTACATGTAATATTTCGTTTGAACGTAAAATTTGTAGTCACACTTTTCTATCAAAAGATTCTTTTAAGGAAGATATATTTTACAACTAATGGCATTATTCAAAAATTAATATTGAACTTACCAATTCAATTAGAAAATATGAGGATTAATAGTTTACAATTGGCATTCAAACAACTAACGTTTAAACTAAATCATAATTCTAATATTATAAATTATAATAAAAAATTACTAATATTTGAATTCAATTATTATAATAATGAAAAGTATATGTATCTAATATTCTTTTTTTTAAAAAAAAATCATATCTCGATAATATTTTTTAAAAAAGGAAAATTATTACTAAGAATTAATATTTAAATTCAATTAAGAATATTCATACTAAAATTTAAATTTATTATTAAAAAAAATAAATCACAACTAGCAACCACTATAAATAACATATAAGACATGTCTTAAAACCACTGTTATTAAATCCAGCACGGCCCGGCGGGTTGACCCAGAAAACCAATAAATCGGGGCTAGTTTGCATTTGAACCAGTTAAGCAATACAACCGGAGTTGAACCGGTTGAACTGTAGTTAAACCTGGAGAGCCGTTCAACCCGTAGAGACCCATAAGGCTCGGTCCGATTTTATTTTTAGGGTAAAAAAGTATGCTATTTGATGAAAGATTTAATGTTTCATTACTTTTTACATATAATATTAATTTTTGCCGCAAAGACTGTCATTTAAGTCATTCAAATATCAAGAAAATAAATCTCTAGTTTTCTCGACATGTAAGAGTTTAAATGCACTTTCTTCTTTTTATCTTCTTTATTATAATGGTAGGGTCTTATATCTTCTTTTAGGTTGCTTTTTGAGTATGAAAGCTTGTTAGAGTGTCTATTTCTTTTGAACTTTGATGCATGATACATAGTTCTAATTTCTTAGATTTTTTATGGTTTTGTGTTTTCTTTAATATACTACTCCAATGATTAAAGAATGATATTAATTAAGTTACCATGTTTACCATGAAATAAATTTAACTTGGTAATTAAGCATTTTATCAAAGTAGAACTTAACCTCGGTTGAGATAACATAACTGCAATTAAAACTCAATTAAGCACAAACCATGAATCATAATTAATCATTTTCATTAGAAAAAAGAGCAATGTAATAATTGAACAATTACTCAATAGTTATATATATATATATTGAACAATTACTCAATAGTTATATATATATATATATATATATATATATATTATATATATATATATATATATAATGACTCACTGATTAAACAATTGACCCGCGGTTAAACCAAATTGAATCATCCACCCACTTCTTTGGCAGGGTCTAATGTCTGGACCATATATATATAATGACTCACTGATTAAACAATTGACCCGCCGGTTAAACCAATGAATCATCCACCCACTTCTTTGGCAGGGTCAATGTCTGGACCGGATTTAATAACATTGCTTAAAATTTAATTTTAATTTATTTTCACCGATTGCACCCAAATTTAGAGATAATCACTTTATTATTTCAAAACTTCAATTTATCACTTAAAATTCCTTAAACTTCAATTTTGTAACACCAAACGCTCTCTAACAATAATCCGGTTATTAAAAATACCGGGAAATTGACGCGGCAAAAATAAATTAACAACTCATAATTTTTCAATTCCATAGTCTTGGGAGATGCAATTTTTTCTCTCTGCCAAATGCAATTTTCATTCTCCCCCGAATTAGACTTCTACCTTCTTTCTAATTTGCTACTCTATGTTTGTCTGCTAGTGACAATAAGAGAGATTAAATTACACAAAATAGCTGAGAAATTAAACTGCATAAACCCACAATCAAAGATAACATAAATACAACTCCGCCTCTCTAGACTCTAACACAGCACCATCACTGTTCTGCATCATCTTCTTCTCTTTTTTTCTACCTTTGCTCTCTTCTTCTATTTTTTCTTCTCTTCAATTGAGTAGCTTTCAGTTCTTAATTTGAGGGATTTGATTCATTATATTGTTGTTTTGAATGGACATATCTTATTTCTTGGTTTTAAGATCCACTTTTGAAGATTTGTCAAAGAAAGTTTCAAATTTTTTGAATTCTGAAGGTTTATCCTATTAGACGATAGCTATCTAGCCTGAGTCATGGCTAGATCCAACTTTTGAAGATTTGTGAAAGAAAGTTTCAAGTTTTTTGAATTCTGAAAGTTTTTCCTATGATAAGATAAAGAATATGGCTCCAAGATTGGATTTTCAGATTGATGGGAAAGGGATAGCAAGAAGGGAACTCCAGTGATAGTAAAGACAACTTCATTATTGGATTTTGAGGAAGGTGACTGGACCCATAGATATCCTCTGGAATTGGGTTTTGTCTCTTATAACACTGCTTTAAATGGAAGTACAAGATAAGTGGCTTTATTGCAAACAATTTTCTGCAACTAGAAAAAGCATTTCCATTTAGATTACCTTTTCTCGGCTTCTTCGATTGGTGAAAAACCTCTAAAAGGGTTTAAAATGCCTTCGCACATACAAAAAGCAACATCAAGCAGATTTGAATTGGCATAAGAGAGATTTTGGTTATAGGCTTTTGATTAAATGTTCATAATCATCTATGGCAATCTTGAGTTGATGGAGATCAGTCAAGATATTCAAATTTGAAATCGATACCATTACAAGAGTCAAATTCAGATATTTTACGAGTTAAAAACCTATTGTCCCAGGAGTTTAACAAATATCCTAAACAAGAGGTATATTCATATTTGTGACAGAATTATATCTTGTTATCCAAGTCACAAGAGCAATCCAACAATAATATGCTAAAAACATTCTAATGATAGTATAAAGGTTACCGTCATTGACATACAAAATTAACTTTGTTCTACAAAAGTACCAAATTGCTGTTTGTTTACTACACACACAGTCATGACAATAAATTCAATATATTCACCTTTAACTCACAAAAAGCTCTGATAATATATGAAGCCTTCAGAGATGGCACTCATTTTCCACAGTTGAATCCTTTGCAAACAGATAGGACTATGATCAAGATCAAAGCAATCAGTATTCCCAGAACAATCAGCTTGATCTTCATATTCTGCAGCCACATTTTCCTACGGATCTTTGTCCCTGAGGTTCGAAAGTCTTGTGCCTGTAATATTGCCACATTTTGTTTTACATGAATAGCTTTTTCTTCTAAAAAATCACAGATGATCTTAAGATATACTGCTGCATAACAACAGCAAATAGGTATGCACATACAAACACACACCACACACACATGATAAAGAGAGAAACACTGACCTGTTGATGAAGATTCTCAGTCTTATCCACCAGAAGTTCAATTTTTTCGCCTCTATCTAAAACCTATATTACAACAGAAAATCAATTTCAGTTTGGTTTATCCCCAGGAATCACCCAAATAAGGACTTACGTGTGTAAGTGTGCCATTTTAAGCCCGAAAATGTTCATCATATTATTGCTCAAATTTTGTGCATTACAAATAAAAGTAAAGTGTATTCTTAAATCGATTGACATTAATAACAAAAGTGATCCATCCGATATTGACAGTATACACAACCAATCCAATCGAAACATGAGGACTCCTAGAACAAAGTTACAACCTTTAGTTATAAAACTAACGCAAATTATCAGATACAAAAGTCAAATTAAGTAAAAATAATACAAAAAATAAAAGATAAGCTATAGAAGGAAAACAATAGCTGTGTTTACATGCTTAAGTACCCATATACAAAAACATTAAAATGAAGGCACTGACACCAAAATTTCTCTTAGAAGAATAATTTAATAGAAGTTCCATAAAAAATTTGCCAAGACAGCACCCTTAAGTAAAGAGTATTGCATGTGGTTTTAACTGTGAGGCAGTTGAAATTTGGCACCGTAAAAAATATATCTCTAAGCATTCACTTGGAATGCTGCAAAATCTACAAAAACTGCATATCTTAAGACAAAGCAAGCCATGAACCTCAAGCTACATTACATTATGGATTCCAGCCTATAAACTCAAACATTTAGATTTTCTAATGTTTCAAAAGATCCAATACTTCAGCATATTTTAGTCCATCTTCAATATTGCCAATGAGACTCAACTTTTGGGTGCTGGGTGAAACAGCCAATATATTATGATCCTAAACAAGGTATGGACTTGAATCCCATATTGAAATTATGGGCATTCAATGTGAAGTTTATACAAACTTGTGCTTCCAAACCTCAATGGCTAGCTTTTCAGGTATGGTTCTTCCAAGATCATATCAAATAGCATAAGAGCCAACCACCACTTCTCCCAGTTGCAATCGAATAGAGCAAATGGCTGCACCAGCATTACAATGTTTGCCCAAGATTAGGTGGTGCCACCGGTATTGCCATGTTAGTATGTTCACTTCAGGCTAGGAAAAATCTAGCATAAAGCCATCTCTTAGATCTCACAGTGAACCTAGCCCGAAATCATCCGTTAGATCTCACACTCACACTGAAAGTATTTCAATATGGGGCCAATTTGAGATCTCATATTGGAAGTATGAGATTTTATATGAAGGTAATAAGATCTCACATTGAAAATATAAGATTTCAATATGGGGCTAATATGAACTTGGGCTCTCCATCAATCGCTAGCTTCTGAGACATAATTCTCCCAAGGTCACAACAAAATGCTTTGTGTTGATCTCATCTGGGCAAGTACCAGGGATGAGCAATATCTGATTCATTTGGGTTTCTCAAATTTATTATAAAGATACTGTAATAACCAAACCAAGCCAAATAATATATAATATGTCATAAGCTAGTATAACTGATGTAATTTCCTCCACCCATTAAAATAAAATACATCCCTAAGACTAAGATACTATTCAACTATTATTCTCTCATGCCATTGCTGCTCTCTCTATTGGCACCTCTCAACTTTTCTCATCCCAAAGTTCCATCTCACTATTTTGTCGAAATCTCTCAATTCTTTGTTACATCTTGCTTCTTCATTGTTGATCATCTCTTGGCTTTCAAGTGGATTTTTATCTCAATACACTATTGTTTGCAGCTGTTAAATTGGACTATGTTATGATCATGCCACCAGGATCTCGTCAGGGCCTGTTAATAATAAAATCTAATTCAAAAGCTAAAGCTTTTGTTTTAGCTTGATTCTTTCCTCGACTTATTGTTGCTGAAAATAGCAAGCTCATTAAAAGGGAGCTCTAACCTTAGACTCATTAGAGAGAGTCTGGATCTCAATTTAGTTGAAAATAATTCTGCATGTCGTATTTCATGCTCAAAGCCTCCAATTTATAGAGGAACACAAGTACTAATTAAAATAATTCTACTAGAATGAGTTCTCCTACCATGAATAAAATAGGAAGCTACTAAAGAGGAGGTCTCCTACCAAAAAGAAACATAGGAAACTACGAAATAGTATATCTCCTACAAAAAATAAAATAGGAAACTACTAAATAGAACTTCTAAATAATAGAACAACTTAATTTAGAAAACTGCAAATATCATAATTGCATCTCTAACATTACTCCCCTCCCAGATAAAGAGCTTGTCCTTAAGCTTCAAAACTGCTTCCAAGTTGGGTGTATTGTTTGCCCCTTTAATTCCCTTGTTTCGATTTTTGGTTGATCTGCTAAGGAGTTTTAGCATCTAACAAGTCAGGTTCTGCAGCTGAGTTTCAAGTCAAGATTCAAATTAGGTCACTCGAGCTTCATTCTGCCTCTTACTTCTTGTAGAAGATATTCGATCTCACTGATTGATTCTCTCATGACGCTTGTCTCTCATACCAAGTTGTTATGATCACACAACTAGGATCTCATCACAGGCCTGTTAACGATAAAATCTAATTCAAAAATTGAAGCTTTTGTTTTAGCTCGCTTCTTTCCTCGACCTATTGTTGCTAAAAATTGCAAGCTCATTAAAAGGGAGCTCTAACCTTAGACTCGTTAAAGAGAGTCCATATCTCAATTTAGTGGAAAATAAATTTGCTTGTTTTATTTCATGCTTAAAGCCTCCAATTTCTAGAGGAATACAAGTACCAATAAGTAATTCTACTAGAATTAGATCTCCAACCATAAATAAAAGAGAAAACTACCAAATAGGAAGACTACTAAATAGAAAGACAACTAAATAGGAAGATTACTAAATAGGAAATCTCCTACCAAAAAGAAACATAGGAAACTACTAAATGGAAAGATTACTATAAGTAGATCTCCTACTAAAAATCAAATAGGAAACTACTAAATAGAACTTCTAAATAATAGAACTACTTAGTTTAGAAAACTATAAATATCATAATTGCATCTCTAACAAGCTAGTATGCTTCATATCTCAAATTTAGAGTTTAAGTGTTTTTGATTAAATATTTGGGATAGCTTTCTACTTGTTTACTGCTTTAGGAATAGAAAAAGTTACTGACTTTAATACTAAGTGGGTGCGAAATTTGGACCTAGTCGAATTTCAATGAATTTTGCAGATGCCAATCTTAGTTCATTTTCCTTAGTAATTGTATTTGACAAGTTTGTTTCCCTTAGCTTTTGTCAATTTCATATTTATTTTGTTGATATTTCTATGCACTTTTGAATTTTAGCCTTGGCTTTTTTTTGTTCAATGGTTAAAATGATCTAGATTTTCTTTTTGATGGGTTTAGCAATGTACTTGCAGAAGTAAGCTATAGAGCCACCAAACCACAACAAACCCTTTTACTTCAGTTTGGTTCAATTCAATCCTCCCTAATGTGGTAGTAGGTAGGGTTTAGGTCGAGTCGTGCACTACCCATCTCCAAACTCAAACCCCATCCCAATCCTCGTACCTTACCAAGCATAAAATCTTATACCCAATCCCATACCCAACAGGTTCAAGGATACCTGTGGGCACCAATCTCGGGATTCCCAATGGGTACCCATTCAAGCGCCCATTTACCCATAGGTAACCAACCATACCGTTTTAAAAATCAAAATTACATTGAATGAAAAAACAAAATAAAAACATTTGTTAAAAAAAAAAATCATATTGGAATAAGAACTATATATGGTTCAATCTAAATTAAAAAAGTCCATATTAGAAGAAGATATAAAAAGTTCAAACTAAATTTGTCTTTCACAACATAATATAAGAATTCTAAATCACATAAGAGTTATTTACAAAAAAAATATATAGCATTTTCATTTGCTATTATAAATTTAGTGAAATTGATTTGTGATAGATTTATATTTTGTTCTTCGCCTTCCCTAATTGTAATTTGATCAAAATGTATATTTTTTGGCACCTATATCTTTTTCCTTTTATTTTTATCTTTCCCTTTGCATTTCTAGCTTCACAAAAATTTGAGACTTCACTCAATTTTACTAAATCTATACAATCTATAGTTATTAAAGGCGTGCCTTACTTAGGGCGAGAAGGCTGAAGCCTAAAACACTAAAAGGCGGACAACATTGATGAGGTGAGAGCTTTTGGGCTTAAGCACACGCCTTTGCACTGGCGTGCCTTTTTTAGTTTTCTTCCCTGCATTGTCGGCTAGGATTTCCTTTTATGATTATGTGATCTAGCCGCCTCCTCTCTTCTTATATTATATGTTTACGTTAAAAAATAATAATAATAATAATAATGGAAGAAAAGAAAAAAAACCAACAGATTTTCTCTTTCCTCCATCAAAACTCAGGTATGTACCTCTCTGTTGCTTCTACTCTCTTCTCTAATTCAATATCTTAAAAAATAAGGTGTTATGCTGCCAAATTTTTTTCCGATCATGTTAGGATTTCTGTCATAGTAACCCTTACAAGTGTGTTTGGATACTGAGAAAAGGATAGAAAATTAGAGAAAAGAGAATAGAGAAGAAAGAAAGAATTATGGAAGATAGGGAAAATAAATAAGAAAGAGAAGAGGCTATACAACTTTTGATTTGGCTTTGCACATCCTATGCTCCAGCTAATGTAGTTACAACAATATTCAAAACAGATTCAAGAATCACAATTAAATCCTAAACTGATAATATTTTACAATCAAATCAAAATTGAAACAAATTATCTTGACAATTATATCATTATTTTTTATATTATTAATGAGATTTATTTTTCAATTTTTTGAAGTTATTATATATTATCCTAAACTGAAATATTTACAATCAAATCAAAATTGAAACCAAATTTATTCTTGACAATTATATCATTTATTTTTATATTATTAATGAGGATTTTATTTTTTCAATTTTTTGAAGTTATATATATATATATATATATATATTATATATATATCTTTTTTTTTTTTTTTTTGCGCTCACCTCAACTCCAGCGAGCACCTAGCTCCAGCTTGCCTTTGCGCCTTAATGAGTTCTTGCCACCTTTACTATCATCTATTATTATATTACATTATTATTAAACAAAACTTCAATTCTTTTTACTATTATATATAATATATATAGTATTATATATTATTATTTATGCCCAAAAATTTGGGTCTATATATTACTTATGCCCAAAAATTTGGGTCGTGTTCGGGTGGGCAATAGCAATACTCATGCCCTACTTATATCCAAAATAATATTCTCGTACCCGAACACACATAACTTGATACCAAGTTCGACCAGGTTCAGGTCGGGTTCATTCCGGCAGGGTCAGGTCAATTTTAGCACCCTTTAAATCAGTTCACTTTGGTGCCTTTCTAATTTGTAGTTATTTTAGTTGTGAAATATCGAACCGACTGATGCTGACCCTTAGCGAGTACCAGTATAGCATGCCAATATGCCTTAAGTATATATTACTTCAGAAATTGTCAAAAAAAAAAAAAAAAAAAAAAAAAAAAAAAAGAACTAAACTTGAACTAATCAAATAAAAAAAAAAAAAAAAAAAAAAGAACTAAAATTGAATAATTCAAATTATAATAAATAAAATAATGCAACATTACAAGTCTATTTTGAGAAATATTGATGTCTTGCGTTTATTTTGGAGTCACAGGGCATGTTAGCATGGATCATGAACATATAAGACTTTTCGGCTTTTGAAGGTAGAAGATCAACACAATCAACCTATTGATATTGGAAGAGCCGAAGGATTCTTCCAATGTATCAGTCAACTATAAGGAATGGCCACAATTAACACCAACACCAGAAATTTGGGGATATACGAGGCAAAAGTGAAATGGGGTAAATATTAACAGACTAAAGTCAGCTCACATCCTAAGCAATTTCTAGATTAGTATAAAGAGTGTATGAAAAAATAAAAGAGGTAAGTAAAATAAATTATGCAGTGTTTATATATGAACTAAACACCAAAGGGTACATACAGATGCATCATAATAGAAAAGCTTCACTACAACAACTAATAAAATAATCAGTAGAAATTACATTATCAAGTTTTTGGTCAAAGAAGTGAAGTGTCCATACCTTTTCAATATTCTCCATCATGACCCCTTTAACTTCTGAAACCTGAGCTTTCACCTTTGCAAGCTTGCTTATCTCTTCAGGATGATCAACACAATATTGCATATGTTCCTTTAGTTTTGGACTACAAATATATAAATAGTTTATGTCATAAGCTGATGAAGTAAAAACACAATTTGACATCAGTTTTCATTGGTCTACTACAAGTAGAATACCCAAATTCCTTGTCAAGGCTGTTGGCAACAGCAGTGGTGGCTTTTCCATTGCCATATTTTGCCATGAAGTCTTCCTTGATACGCTCCAGAAAAGCCATTGGTACTTGTCTTCCTGCTGATTCATCTGCAACTACGCAGTATGCTGTAACATTGAACAATCAATCAATATATCATACAAAGAATATAAGAACATGATTTATGCACTGAGATACACACAGGTTTGAATAATAAAATAGGGAACACGGAATTTAACAAAAACTACAGGAGAATTTCCTTAATGGATATCTATCGTAATCCAATGGGGGTTTATCGACCATAAACTCAGATTTTCTAATTTATCTAACACCACAACAAATATGTGAAGGAATTTCAGTCCTGCTTTCCGCACTTCATTCTGCATTTAATTTGTTATATTCGCCACCTCTGTTTCTACAATGCCAGTGCCAGACATAGTAAAGTATGCACATATATGTCCTTTTATCATTTTATTCATAAACAGACAAATATAAATAGCTCCTCAGGTGATCAAGGGTGCAATTATGATATATCTTTCAGGTGAAATTTATTTGCAAATTCCTTCAACTTAAGCCAGACCAGAAAACAATCAGCTAGTAGACCAATGTTTTCAACATCACATACTCCAATATCAAACAAATTTCCCTGAATTTTGTGCAATCTACAATTTTCTCATAAAAAAGATTTATCAACACACAATAAACAAATTAACGTTACCATTTTCATACTAATTTATTATGCTAAAATTAATCATAAAATACCAAAACTGTAACTTTCGATCACCAAGCGGCAGCTATAGAGGATGATGAATATGATGCAACCTGATGTATCCTTAACAAGTTACAGCATCGAGTAATGTCCAAACTTGCATTCAAAGTGCAAGCAAGAAAATAAGTGAACCCAATCCTGACAATGTCATTGACACATATCAACAGCTCTTCAATTTTCCACAAAACATGATGAAAAATTCGAAGGCATTACAACCTAATCATCTATGTAACTCAGAAACAAAAAAGGTCAAAACATAGAAATGCAGAAATGGACACGGGGAAACGCATTTTCAAAAATATAGGAAATGGAATTGTGGGGGAAGCTCATAAATATACAAAATAAAGGGGTATTATTCATAAATATATATGGGGGAAGGCTCAACTAAATTATAAAAATAAAGGGGTATTATTGCATAAATATATATATATTATTATATATATAATATATAAAATTTTAAAGGACAACCAACCACAATTTGTTTTAAATAACAATTAAAAATACAATCATTGTAAAACCAACAAGTAATTTGACTTCCAATGTTAAGCTGCTGTTCCTTTTTTTTTTTTTTTTTTTGTATTTTTTTTGCCTTTCAATATTTTTTTCCATTTTCTCTGCGATTCAAGTCTAAAATGGGTGTGTAGAGGTCCTATTTAATCTTTCTCTAGTAAAGTGTAGTTTGCATGGGAAAGAAGTCCCTATCCCTCCATCTTTTTTTTTTTTTTTTTTTTTTTTTGCCTTTCAAAATTTTTTTCATGTTCTCCTCATTCAAGTCTATGGGTGTGTAGAGTCCTATTTAATCTTTCTTCTAGTAAAGTGAGTTTGCATGGGAAGAGTCCCTATCCTCCATCTATTATGTCCTCTTTTAGATATAGATATAGACACTTCTATCTTAATTTCAATTCTTATAACAAGGGTCTCAATTCTCAAGGTTTGGTTTTTTGTTTCACTGTTAAATTTTTCTGGATTTCTATTTTTTTTAAAAAAATTAAAGAAATGAGTTTCCAAGAGCGGAAACAAGATGTGTTTCTATTTTCACGAAAATGGCCAAGAGAGTCTCCATGCATCATAGTAATCATTCATCCTAAATCTAGAATGGCAATACATAAGTTTATATAATTAAAAAAATAAATGTGAAAAATACAACAATTAACATTAAAGACTCTTATGCCATATTGCTAGCTCCAGCCATAAATCCCCAACACATAAATATATACACAGACTCATATTCGTTTCAACAATATTTCAAAGAAAGCCACAGCTCATAAAATCAAAAACTGAGCTCATACCTTTTCAAAGAAAAAGTGAAAGCAAATGATAATGTAACATGTCTTCCTAATTTAATGGTTGAATTACTATTTATTTCCTATAGTTTGGTAAAATTTATAAGTCAGACCTCTGATTTCAAGAATCAAGTAAATAGTCCCTTTATTTTATTGTTGTTCAATTAAACAATTCTTTTGTTAAGATTGTGCAATTTTTTTGGTTCAATTTTCTCTTTAGGAAAAGAAAACAAATTTTAATGCCAAATTTATCTAACAATTTACTCCAAACTTGTGCATAGAAAAAACTTGTTATTTCTAATGAGTTTTTATTGATGAAGTACGATTGGTGATGTTTAGGATAAAAGGAAAAAACTAGGGATTTAATTTAATGATGGATATAGAAGCAAATTTCAGATTTTGTTAAGGGTAAAATTGGCATTTCACCACAATTTAAGGAAAAATTAACATAATGAGTATTCAGTTGGATGACAACAAAAAAGAGGGACTATTTAATTGATTTTTGAAAATAGAGGTCTTTATTTCAGAATTTCACTAAACTATAGGGATTACATAGTAATTCAACCAAATTTAATTTTCGTAATAGTTAATATCTCCAAAAATTAGCTTAACGTTGCCCATCTACTCTAAACTTGTAACTAGTGTACGCTAAATTTCAATTTGATACAAAACACACTAAACATCAATTTATATAACTATGAAAACCTTGCTATCATATTTGATAGATTATTATGATAGAAACATAATATAGATAAGACATGAGATTACAAAAACTATTTTTAAAAAAATATATGGTCATGTCAAAATTCTCTATCTATCTCTTACCTTTCTCACTTGCCATTGAATACACTCTCCCAATTTTTCTCTATCTCTACTCACTTCCTCTTTAGCCAAATATATCTCTCCATTCCGGGAGAATTTTAATTTCTCACATAGATGTCATCTTTATCATTTGCCCATTATGAAAATGTGATACAAGAGTTTCTATTGTTAAAGAAATTTATGTTCAGTATGTTTTATGTTACAAATTTCAAATTTAGACATTTTAATCTGCACTAGGCATAATCAGTGAAATTAAGCCCTAGAAAATTAAAATTGATTAGAACGGATTAAAATTAAATACTTGGGCCAACTTCTACAAAATTGATTAGAATTTTTAAATGAATTCTAAAATTAGAAAGAGTAGAAGCCCGCAAAGCTATAAAATTTTAAACTAGCAAAGGTACTAGTTAGTAAGAGTAGAATTTTATGAAATTTATTTGCAATATGATTTTATTTTCATTTATCCAAATCCTATATAATGTCACTTCCATCATTTTAGGCACAAAATACTCATGATCTTCATGGAATACTTTCTCAGACAAGCGTTATTTTTAACTAAAACCATCCTGCTGGGTATTTCAGAAAACAAATTGAAAAGAATCAGGAATTAAGATTAAAAAATAAAACAAATCCCAAATTTTCCCTTAATTCAATTTTCTATTTTCTCTGTAACCAAACGAGAAAAAACATGTAAAAAGCATTATAGTGTTGTCAACGAGGAAATTGAAGAAATGCAAAAGAATCAAAGAATTAAGGTACAAAACAATAAAAGCCAACTGTTCCCTTAATTCAATTTTGCATTTTCTCGGTAACCAAACAAAAAGCATGTAAAACTTACTGTAGCCGTTGTCAACGAGGTAATTGAAGGTATGGGCATCGCAGTTGTAAGTGAATTTGTTGTTGGTCGCAGGGAGTTTCTGAAGGCACTGAAACGCTATGGAATTGAAATTGCCACTGAATTCTGTATACTCGGCAAGAATTACAGTTCCACGAGATACGAAGGCGTAGATCAACGATTTCTGGCCCATTTTGGCGATACTGATAAAGCGATTGGAGGTTTGGGAGAGAGATCTGAGACACGGATACGACGCCTCTCCTTTTCACTGGAAATCTCTCTCCTCTTCCTCTAGCTTTTGCTTTTCTATGTAGAGAGAGAGAGAGAGAGAGAGGGAGGGTTTAATGAGGTTCTAAAGTAGAGAGAGTGAAAAAGAAGAGATGGTTTAATGATGAGATTGGGAATAAATTTCAAATGTCTGAAATTAATACCATAGAAATTATAGCGTGTTGCCGTTCTCAAAATATCTTTCCAGACGGTTTTATTGGATGAGTCAAAGATAAGTACGAAAAGAAAAGGATTTATAAAAATATATAAAAAAAGTCCCAAAATCTGAGTTGACACCTTTTATTATTTTAAAATGCTGATGTGGCAAAGAGTGTTGGCTTAGATCATGCCATTCCCTTTACGGTGTTGACGCCCATGAAAATATTCATTTGTGCGGATGAAAATAATTCTTCAGAAACCTTTCAGTTTCACAGCCCATCACTAAGATGAATCGTAAGCAGTTTTGGATTTGAACAGTCTAGAAATTAATGATGATAGATTACAGTTCCAGCAAAGTTCAATTTGAATATAAAGGTATGGTTTTCTTCAAAATTTATTGATTATGAGCTCTGTGTTTTATCCAATCTCAAGAATTATGTTTCCTTTAATTTTCTTTCCCTTTGTCTGATATTGCAATTGTTGATTTTTTTTTACCATATGGCAAGTTCTTTTCATGGTGAAAATCAAAATCAACCCCATGTTAATTATAATTATGTTTTTCCTCCTGCTGTTTCCTTCTCCCATTTGTTTCCTATTGAATTTGGTCGCAATCACTTTGGAAGGCAATTAGATGGAACTTATTAGGGAAGGATACACAAAATCATGTATTATAAACAAATAAGAATACATCAAACCTTGAAGTTGTGTTGGATGTAAAGGGATGGAAACCGAGTTGATGTGCTAGGAAATTATGATAGCTATGCATAACTACGTAAAATTCTATATCAAACCTTAAAAAAACCTCCAAAATAGGATGATTACCATCAATAGTGCCAATATCCTAGGTTGGATATTAAAGAATTAGTTATCTCAATGGAGATGATTACTGTCATGCCATCATAGCTTGTATGAAGCATTAGCAACATCAGTTTTTTTTTTTTTTTTTTTTTTTTTTTTTATAAGCATTAGAACATCATTTATTTTTTTTTTTTTTTTCTTTTTTTTGTTTTTTTTTTTTTTTTTTTTTTTTTTTTATGCAAGCGTAATAAGCTGTTGAGATAATTCAAATTATGGTGTTATATTTTATGATGAAAAATTGTCCTCACTGAACCATGCAGAATTAGAAATTCATAAGGTAGACCCAAATTTTTGCATTGCAATGTTGGGAATATAATGGTTTTACTTTCATGTTTTCTATACTTCTAATAATGTAGGAGGGGTAGTAAATACTCTGGATTAGTTTTATGTTGTTACAGGTCTTGCAATTATTAACAAGCCTAACGACAAAAAAAATAAAAATTTGAATTTTGACCTCTTTAATAATTTAATATATTCTTTTAATTACTACGGTCGATACCATAAACTAATTTTTTGTTAATAATTCTGGCCTCCGTTGATCATTTGTCCAAATTAAGCTGATGTGTCCGTTAACCTTGATGAATGGGTCCACAAATGCTAAATAAATGCTGATTAAGCATTTCACCTCAGATATAAAATTTTTTTTTAAAAGGAACAATTTTGCTTCCACTCATCGCCATCAAAGGAACTTTCCGTCCACCAAACAATCGGCACAAGGTGGCAAACGAATCCTCAGACACCGATGACTACATTTTCGGCCTTCCATTCAAGGATGAACGTCTGTCCTACTTGAATCGAGACTTTGTTTTCTTTGCAGTTCCATCGTCTTCTTCGACTTATTTTCTGGCCAAGTTCCAATAGAAACAGAAAATAGAGTAAAAATTGAGAGATGGGTGTACACAATCCAAGATTGAGAACGAAGAAGCTGTATCTCGTTGTAAAGAGCAGAAACAATTTCTAAAAGAAGCCATCTCTACCCGCAACCCCTTCACTGCCACACACTCCGCCTACTCTATCTACTTATATATGGATATTTTACTTGTTTATTATATGAATATTATATTTGGCTTCTAAGTTTTGAGAAGATTTTCATTTGGAATTTCAATTTCTTTACCTGGAGTTAAAAAGATATTCAGTCTCAAGACTCTTTATTTGAAAGAGGAAGAATATCAACTAAATTTCTCTATCTAGATCCAAATGGAGAAGGTAGTGGAAGGAGACAAGAAGATCAAAAACCTGATGATGTGATTTGAGGAAAAAGCTAACAAAGTACAATAGGTGGAGGAGGATGGATCCAGTAATGGTGGTACTGATGCGGGTATGGACAATGGAGAAGAAAGTAGTGAAAAAGGCTTTTGCTTTTTTTTTTTTTTATATATATATATATTTTTATATTTGATGTGGAATGCTTAATCAACACTGATTCAGCATTTCTAGGACCCATTCACCAGGGTTAATAGACACATCGCGTAATTTAGACAGATGACTAACGGAGGATACAATTGTTAACAAAAAAAAAAAAATTAGTTCACGGTATATCCATTGTAGTAATAAAAAGAATAGGTTAAAATTGTTCAAAAGACCAAAGTTCAGATTTTTTTTTTTTATTATCACTAGGGCTTCTAAATATATTTCACGCAGGGTTATAGGACACACCTCGCGTAAATTTAGACAGATGACCTAACGCGAAGCATACAATTGGTTAACAAAATAAGATAAAAAATTAGTTCATCACGGGTATATCCATTGTAGTAATAAAAAGAAGGTTTAAAATTGTTCAAAAAGAACCGAAAGTTTCAGATTTTTTTTTTAATTTTAATTATCAACTACGGCTGTCTAAATATCTATATAATATTCTAAATTATATAATTATATATATGATTATATAATAAAGACTGTAATAGTTATATCTAAAAGGGTCAAATGCTGATATAAGACTTATAGTTATCTATAAGGGTCATGCTCCACCCTTTCTATGCTTCAACACATATGAAGTGAAGTTCCCACCTGGACTCAGGTTTCCGCTAGCCTTTCATATAAAAACAAACAAACAAAAAAAAAATCTCCATTTATGAAACATTAACTTTGAGTTAATATTGATAGTGACAGAGATGACTTAGCTTTTGATAAAGTGAAATAGAATTAATAAGCTATAGATGGAGTAAGTGTTGAACCCACCAGGCCTAACCTAACATCTACTTATCACAATCACATGTCCATATGATTATATATGTGTTCATATGGTGCACTTTTCTCCATGGATAGATCAGAAAATTCAATTAGCTGATCTAATAGATAAAAGTAATAACTTAGAGAAGTAAAAAACACATTTTTAGCAGAGAATTTTTAATAATTGTAGTTATAAAGGACTTTTTCAATTTCTTGCATCTTTCTCATTAATTAGTTAGGCTTTTTTATATAATTGAACATTTGGAGTTTCATGTTCTCAAATTTGGTTTAAAATAAATCGAATTGAATTCATTTTAACTAATCCTTATACTTTTTTTTTTTCTCGGTTTGATGTACATATACTCTCAATATAATTAATTAGTAGTATTGATAAAAACTTATTTTTATTTATTTTTCAACCAGTTTTTTTAACATATAACTTTTTACTATAAAAAACATAAATCAGAAAAAAAAAAAAAGAATATACAACTTTTCATATAGAAAAACATAAATCAAAAACCAAAAAACAGAAATTAAAAAAAAAAAAAAGAATATACAACTTTTCATATAGAAAAACATAAATCAAAAACCAAAAAACAGAAATTAAATATCAAACAACCATAAAAAAAATTCCAAATTAAGTAGACAGTTAAAATATGCAAAATTCAAAGTAGAAATGATTATTTGTTTATTAGTGATTGTTTGTTTATGATTTTCTACTCCAAACAGACATGATAGCTTAGAATTTTGGTTTGGTAACAAAGCAATATAGTGTCAAACAAGAAAAGATTGAGAATATATTGATGCTTTTAGCTGCAGATATGGAACTCATGAAAATTAGGACAGACATACCATAACATTCAAAATATTTAAATAAAGACATCTTATGTAATAAAATAATATTGGAACTTTATAATAACAAACATATTTAAGCAAGTTTATTACAAATTTGACAACTAAATCCAACCTAGAAAATTGATTTTAGCCAAAGAGACAGAGAATGATAAAAAAATGGGACAATAATTAACCAACATTAGCAATCAAAAAAATAATTCTAGAAAAAAATAAACAAAAAAAATACTCAGAATCTAAGGCTCACCAATTAAAAAATCAACCAGACGAATAATAAACTAAGAAATGTGCTGAATTGAAAAGTTGAAATGGTTCCTTTTTGTATTCAAAAGTTTGAATCAGGTTTCAAAGATTTTCAATCATTCTCTTAATCTAAATCAATTCCTCATACTAAATAATAAATACAATGCATTTATTTTAATTTTCCTATTTAAAATTATTTTTCAAACATTTTTTCAAATTAAAATTGAGTTATTTCATGGTCATATAGAAAATAAACAAAAGCAAAAGAAGTTTAATAAAAAAATACGATAAAAGAATAACAGAAGAATAGAATATTGTGTAACTTTATATTGCTTTGCTAAGTTAATGAAAAAACTAATATAAAAAAACCCCGCGCATTGCGCAGGTATAGGCCTAGTTCAAAATAATTTCAAAATTTTGGACGTTATAACTCATAATACTCTGTACTATATATAGAAGTAGGAATAAGGGGAAATAATTGGTGTCGATATTGTCTTTATGAAATTTAAGATATACTAAAATAACATTAGTCGTCAATTAAAAAAATTTAACCTAAAAATATATATAATATTTCTATAACTTGATTGGATGTTTTTTTGACTTTTTTTAATAGATAAATATATATAGATAATTTTAGACTTTTTTTAATAGATATAATATATATAGATAATAGCTTTCAAAAATTAAATTTTACAATTTATCCTATTATGTCTAATTATATTTATTTCATTATATTATAATTAATAATAATTTAATAACTTTAATAATTTATTTTTATGACAATTTATAATTTAGATTCAACATTATTATTTTAAATAATATATGTAAATATGAAGCATTTGA